TTATTTACTTTGCTTCATGTCAACGTATTCTAATCACCACGCTTGTTGCCAGGCAGTTCAAATTATTCTGAACGGCTCCCGTTTGAACTGGACCAATCAAACTGCACTCAAGTTTGGTGTCTTTTCCCTCAAATGTTCTCCCTGTAACGTATTTACAATTTTCTTTGGGCACAGTTTCTGCATCGCAGAGAAGAAAATTACAATGGCCACCAGACGCTCTTATTTTTAGAATATGATATTTATTTTTTAATTATTTTATTCCGGATGTGAAGATTTTACTTTGTTATCTCAGTATTTTGAATTTCTTCAGAGATAACAGACGAAATTTTATGAATGGGTCTAATCATGTTTATGCAGTTGTTTTAATATTTTATACATAAAAACGACAATGTGCGATTCAGTTTAAAATCCCATTATGTTGTTTGCGTTCTTTTTACTTCTGATGAATAATCTGAAGGGTTCCTCTCTCGGTTTTGTTAAAAAGCCTATGAAAGTGAATTTCAGCTGTCATATACACAGTCTATTCTTTTGGGGCCGTAAATTTATTAACATTATATGACGTCAAAGGCAAGAAATCCTAGCTTTGTTATTCTTAATGCGCCATTGCAGCTAACAATGGTTAATCCCTAGTTAAACTTTGAATATCCAATTCGGACATTATGTCACTTCCTAACCAGTTTAAGGACAAATTAGGCACTTGCTACCCATAATCTAAGTCTTTCATTTATGTAAGTAGAACACAGGAAAAATATCCTGCAAAATTTTATTGGAATTCCGATACTGCAGTAGGATGATTTTCTTAATCACTTTGTTCAGGTTGTTAACACTGATGCCCAATGTGATTCTTCTTGCCAATCGTGTTTAAGAACACAATAACAAGTTAAAATTATTAAAAGAAAAATTGAAGGAAATAAAAAAAATAAAAAGGATAGAATTGCACATTAAAATATTAAAGAACATGGATTATGAGCCATTAGAAAATTGCATGTGAAGTGTCAATTACAAAACCCATTAGATACAGAGATGCATGGCTTGAGGTCCAAAAGTCCAAATATTGTGTTTTGAATTAGGTGATTTCCATTGTGAAGTTCAAGACATTACTCAAGTGCGTTTGGAGATTTCATTTTCATCGTTGTTGCTACGTAACAGTTGATCGTTGTTGCTGCGCAACAATTAATCAGTCGATGTTTGCTGATTGTGACCCCTTTATTAGCGCAAGTGATCATATTTAACTATATCTCAGCGTAGATAAAATATACGATTTTTCCAAATGACAGCCTAATTAGTCTAAGTACACGACCATTTGGAAAATCTACTAAAGACTGATTGAAATGGCACCATTATACTTTATGGCACCCATCGCCTGCCTTCACACACCAGCCCATATCTCGTCACGACTAAGCATGCATCACCAAAAATGATGGCACTGAATCGGTGTTATATGAACTCGTGTGTAGCAGACACACTCGCTATACGACAAATTACAAATAAAAACCTATATACCTTGATTTCTTTAATAGGAATCTGGAACGACTGTGTGTGTATATATATTATATATATATATATATATATATATATATATATATATAAATATATATATATATATATATATATATATATATATATATATATATATATATATATATATATATATATATATATATATATATATATATATATATATATATATATATATATATATATATATATATATATATATATATAGATGAGAATTATTTACTAGGTCGTCATGCGCGTGTCTGCTACGCACGAGCTTATATAACACCGATTCAGTGCCATCCTTTTTGGTGATGTGTGCTTAGTCGTGACGGTATATGGGCTGGTGCGTGCAAGCAAGGCGATGTGTGCCATTTACTCGCGGTCCTGGGTTCGAAACTCGGTAGAGTACGAATTTAATTTCTCTAACCTGTATGATAATATTGTTTGTATTAAACTATTATTTCTGCCCACTATTATCAAGATTCTACTACAGAATCCAGGGATAGCACACTCTGTTCTGTCTGGTATATATATATATATATATATATATATATATATATATATATATATATATATATATATATATATATTCTTTATACATAAAGAATACAAATTATATGGCGAATAACAACCATTTCAAGCGCACTGGATCCACCAAGAAATCACGTGTGTCAGGGATTGATATATATATATATATATATATATATATATATATATATATATATATATATATATATATATATATATAATACAAATCATATGGCGAATAACAACCCTTTCAAGCGCACTGGATCCATCAAGAGATCACTTGTGTCAGGGATATATATATATATATATATATATATATATATATATATATATATATATATATATATATATATATATATATATATATATATGTGTGTGTGTGTGTGTATGGGTTTTGCTAGTCATGATTGGTTAATAATGTAAGTTATTTATTTAGGAAAAAAGAATCTTTTGAGAGCTTATCCTAATTGTAACTGAAAGAAATAGAAACATTGTTTTATTGATGGAATATCAGTCCCTTCACAGTTTTGAATATAGACCACTCATTACTGAAAATTAGCACCTAACTCTTGGGTGTAAAATTGAAAGCAGGTTTCAAGTATATTAGGTCTAGAAAGCTCATATTCGTTTTTCTACAAAGAAGCTAACATGCAGGTTTCATATATATACTGATAAATATATTTTTGATCATATCAATCAAAAATTTAATGTAATTGAACTTTTACTGTCATGAATTTTTGCAAATGTTTATTACGGGAACTGAATAGAACCACGAGTCCTTCTCGTTCAAAATAAAAGGGCTTCAACTCTGTATGCAAAATAATATTTCAGACTGATTTACTTCCCTTGGACTACTTCCCACCCACCCCACGGGGAGGATTCTGACTTGGTTGTTTTTCCAATTGGTTTTCTGAAAGATGCATAAAGCTACATTTCTGTAACCACATTCATTTTCACAGTAATGCTAAATTTATCGAGTCCAATTTAGTTTGAAGCTCAATGTTCAGACAAGGACAATATGCATATTGAATTACGTCCCTTTGACAAATTGTATTAATGAATCGCTTCAATTCTCTTAACACTCTGGTAGTGATCAGAATTCAATAATTCATTTGCCAGAGACTATCTCAACAGATAGCGCTATTTTTCGACTATGAAAACATATTGCAGTTTAACATGTTAAGAGTTTTCTTGATAAACTTAAGCAAAACAAAATCACGTGAAAGTAACGGCTACAAACATTTTAAGAATGAATATAGCCGTGATCATTTGTATTAGAAATTTGTTTTATTATGTTTATTTTATGTCCTGTTGCAATTTGTCGAACTACCTGTAAAAAAGCTTTTCCTTACATGTTTTTCTTCTTCTTCTTTCTTTTTTTTTTGTATCTGCAGCTATAATCACACAATTTCAAGTTTCATTTATTACTTCTATCACTGACTAGACTCTTATGGAAGCTGATCAACTATACATTGCTATGCAAAATGAAAATACATCTAATTTGTTATATAACAGCTATAAAATAATTTAAAATATATCATATGAGAAAACCATTGCGCATAATTTCTTTTGTTCACAGTAACATTTCCAACGTGTTTAATCGCATTTTGAGTAAAATAAAAGAACTGCATTTCTGCAATTAACATGTCTTAGCGCCATAAACGCTAAAGAAGCGACTATGCTATATGGTGATTTACTATCCAGTTTTGGATATCATCCATACGCCGATCGACTCTGATGTAAAGTTCGTATGTTAAGAGTATATCCCATTACTTTTTTAATTTCCATGATTAACTGAAGTCAGTCTAATATATGTCTTGGATATAATTTTTTTATTAGCCACAATTCTTTCCCCACAAAATCGTAATAATGTGTGTTTGTGCAAATCATAAAATTGTCGATGCTTAATGGAGCACTTACCCCTGTCAAATCTTCATTTTTGGAGGACCTTAGTTTTGCACGTTTAAAAGCTCTTTATTTTCGGAAGTAAGTAAATCTTGCTCTTTTGTTCACAATCTCGTATTGCCTAAACAGAGGTTATCGGTTTAAAAAAAAAACAGCACAAAACAAAACAAAAACAAAAACCGGAACTTGTGTAGTTTATTAAGCTACCTCATTAGTAGTAGCGTTCAACCAGATTCATGTGTAACTGCGAGAAAGCTATGACGAAAATATCGCAATAGGTCAGGTTAAACGGCACAAATATAATCATTCGAAACTATTTCGGTTATTTCTGAGAGACGTGTGTACGCATCGGTTGTATGTCGGCACAGTAATTGATAGAAAAGATAATATATTTTTAAGCAATAGAGGTAATCCAATCTATTAAGATCAACTTGGGGTTTTCAACTACTGTATTAACAGTTAAACTTACCGGCAAGTTGTGAATGAAACCAGTAGTCTAACATTCGTAACTTCTCGGTCAATTCGTAGGCGGATTGGTCCAAATGGCAGAGGTTAGCATATATTCGTGGAATGTGGAAAGATCCGAAGGATATAACTCGAAGCTACGCATAGTGTAATAGAAAGGGAATTGTTACCCTTGCTATTTTTATAAAGTTAGATAGACAATCATTACACGATAAAAATTTCATGTTTGATATTTGTAATTTTACATTTGGTCAATAATTTAGGTTACACGAAACCAGTATAATATAGGACACAGAGCAACTACGTTCTGGCTACTAAGATTCCTTTGCAGGCACGTGCACCTTGAAATGTATGCTTTGGACTCTTTACGACCCAAAGTTGGGGTGATGTGATTATGATTTTTAAGGTAGCTTTAACAATTTTCCAGTCAGATAACTACGATATCTGCAGTGTGGCAGTTTATAGTGATGTCTAGTCATGTAGCATGACATACCACCGAGTCACATTATCCTGACACCAGGACGACCAGTCCTAACACTAATCTCTTAATGCAGTGCGTCAAGCGAAGCAGCTATTAGTACCATTTATGTAAGTCTTTAGTATGACTCGACCGGACATCTAACCCACGACCTCCCGCATCCGAGGCAGACGCTCTAACCACTAGGCCACCGGAGAGGTTTCAAGGTTAGGTTTCCAGTAGATCCTGAAAAACTGCCCATACTCCATGACTGAAATCTGTGGATGTAGATTTTCACTGACAGGTAGAAAGAAAAAGTATTTCTTTTTATGAAAATTCAACAGAACAAATTTAGAGATTTCATTTTCAAATACTAAAAGAGATAAAGTGAAAATTTCAGCAAATCCAAATGATAGGAATAACTTAAGTCAATTAGCCGGTTTAATTTAATATTCTTGAATGTAATGATTTTCCATTTATTTTTTTTGGATCCGTTTCTTGCTCACCTGACTCCCAGTTTTCGAACAGAGCAACTACTTTCTGGCTAGTAATGGTTAAGGACTCCCTGTCCCAAAAATCTACAGCGACTTTGCTTAAATCTGTCTAAATTTCATCATTTCATTCGGAAAATTAAAACTGTTCTCATTTGGATAAATGGACAGAAATTTAGATAGGGTTCTTGTTAGATTGCGACAAATGAAAAAAGAAAAAGAAAGAAAGAAAACAGAGAGTGGAATGAAGAAACAAAGAAGGACTCATATGTATACTGTCTTTCAGATTGCTTTACGTTTTGCGAAAACTAAATCACCATAGTTTAATCCACCATCAACTTTTCCGCTATTAGAACCATAACTCTACTTTTGCATACATACATACATACATACTACATACATATATACATACATACATACATACATACATACATACATACATACATACATACATACATACATACATACATACATACATACATACATACATACATACATACATACATACATACATATATATACATACATACATACATACATACATACATACATACATACATACATACATACATACATACATACATACATACGTACGTACGTACGTACGTACGTACGTACGTACGTACGTACGTGCGTGCGTGCGTGCGTGCGTGCGTGCGTGCGTGCGTGCGTGCGTGCGTGCATGCATGCATGCATGCATGCACGCACACACACACACACACACACACACACACACATACATACATACATACATACATACATACATACATACATACATACATACATACATACATACATACATACATACATACATGCACGGACAGACAGACAGATACAAATGTTAATGAATGAATTTGCAGATACCTAAACATATTGTAGGATTAATTAAGATACATACTACTACACAAACATAAAGGTCTCTCATATTCGAAGTAACTACTCGTGTAATTAAAATTTTCCACATGTCCCTGAAACTCGGGAAATAATCAACGCAATGTAAACATAATAATATATTTATCAACATGTATTTCATTTAACTATCACAGCATTTTGAAATATTTTTACATAATAACAAATAAAATGATCAATACGTGCGCAATTAAACAATCTTAAAGTTACACTGATACATCTCAGGTTTGTCATCTCACTGAACACATAATCAATCATTTGTGGCATATTCTTTCAACAGAAATTATTCTTAATATCCAAAATAATCGTCCTGAAAATGCCAAATCAATGAAAACAATATCTTTCAAAAATACTTTTGAAGCATAAATATCTCCCTCACCCATCCTTCTTTCATTTTATATATGAAATTATTGCAAGTAGCACAACGAAACGCTTTAAGTTTGAATAAATAAATAAATAAATAAATAAATAAATAAATATTAAACAACTTAGAAAACATCAAAGTGCATTTTCACCAAACATACATCAATACATAAGAAAATAAATGTAAAATGACTATGTCAAGAAATTTAATGAAATCTGTTTGTACAAGCCCTCATTGATGGTAAGATTTCCTTTGCGGTAGACATGTATACTGTTTATATAGATGTCAAGGGACGGATAAATCAATATTCTGCACTAGATGACTTTTGATACATAGGTGTCTGTTAAAACAAGTTTCGTTTACATCAAGTGATGACAAAGAAATACAGAACGCACAAAACTAATACATCTTATACAAATTTCTGACGCCGTGTTCTTAATCTAGATGTAATCGTCACTGATTTAAAAGAGAGACAGGACTTGAAGACAGTGTTTCATACAAGACAAAAACAGATCTATTTTTCTGGCTGTACTAACTAACAGAATTCGCCTTCATCCTTTGGCTACCTGGGTTATAGCTACTGTAACCAGATATTTTATGTTTTAGATGACATTAGGACACGAAAGAGATACTGAAAGACGCTTTATTTGTGATGCAATTTCAAATAAGCAGCTTATAGATTATGGTTATGATGAGTTTTGATTATTCACCAATAAAAGATGGTCTGGAAGAAAAATGGGGCTGGTGTGGGGGAAAGAATAAGCTAAATCTAAAGACAGTGTTTGTATTTATAGAGATGGTAAGTGTGTTTCTCAAAAAAGAATTTAAAATAGATACTGATTAGCAGAGAAGTAAAAAATAAACTGGGTGGATTGAAATGATGAGCTCTAATTCAAGTCATTCTATTTTCTAGTGTGCAGCTTTGCAATCTATCATTCTCTCTCATACACACATACATGCAGACACATGCATTCAAACAATCATTTCCACGGATGTGGTCTCCTCCAGGACATTCTCCCGATTCCCCCCCCCCGACATACCCCCGGATATTTTCCCCCTGTACTTCATACCCCCTCCCATCAAATAGGACTTCTCCCTAGTTATTGCCCCCCTGATCTTAAAACTTAATTCATTTAATATGACATTTTGCCAATAAAATATAAACACTTATGCTAAGTTATGTTAAAAAAAAGGTTAATTGAAATAAATCTCAGTAGTGTTAAACAAAGTTAACATTTTCACATATTAGAAAAATGTATTGTTTAAAAGTTAATGTTGTAAGCAATTGCTTTAAAGTATTCTATGATGTCACGATTGCCGAAGTCGGCGACTATCTTTGGAATTCTCGAAGAACAGTCTTTGTCTTCTTTGGTTGTTACATCATAATCTGCTTTTGTCGACATCTTCCCTTAGTACGGTACTGAAACAACTACAACTAATTGAAATCCATCTGTTTTTTTATCTTAAATATACCAAATATACACAATAAATAAAGGTTATACTCAATCCATTTCACCATAATTCAATGAAACCTCCTGTTCTACATTGAGTAAGAGCACTAGCTATTGAGACAAATGGACAATGCCCATTTTTGTTATAACTAACAAGGCTTAACAATGGGTGTGAATTTATGTTCCCAGTATAAATGTGGTGTTAAGCAACCCTTAGCATCAATGTGTGTGTGTGTGTGTGTGTGTGTGAGAGAGAGAGAGAGAGAGAGACAGACAGACAGACAGAGAGAGAGGGAGGGTGAGGAAAGTAAATATATTTGGTAATGCATTTATTTCAGGTGACAAGTCATTCCTGTGCACTAATGGTGATGCGGGATGCAAGTATACATCAAAGCAAAATGTTACTATATATAAATAAAGTAGTATAAAGATAATGGAGGAATGACTGGGGAAGTCCTCTTTGATGGGGGAAAAGTCCAGGAGGGAGAATGTCCGGGAAGAAACGTCGGGAGAGGGGGTCGAGGGGGTCCAGGAAGAGATGTCCTGATACAATTTTACATGCCTCTTTCATTTGTCATTTATCGAGGATATTTTGTATAAAATAGTACAAACAACAATTGTATCGTTTTTCCTAGAAATGATTCTTCCTTTATACAAAAATCGAACGTAATTTTACAATTTAATCATTTGCTTTTTTTCCACCATGTGTAATTCGGGGTTGGGGACTATATAGTTCAAGAGGTTGCTCATATAATAACATAACGATTTATGGTCAGTTTATATCATGTTGTCAGGCAACAGAAGACCAAGCTTCTCATGATTAAGCAAATTGCGGAAACTGATTGCACCTGTACAAGTATTCACGCATGCCAGATAATGTTAGAATGATCTATTGTTATACTTTTTGAAAGAATTGTAGTTGTTTTGGTTGTTGTCTCATGTAGTATTTGATAATAAAGATTTACCAGTTTATTTGTTGACGTTCATGGAAGCAGTTTCATTACGCTCGTTGAAGCGTGTATGATCTGCTTAGATTCGTACAGTCTGCAAGGGTTTGGTTTGTTCATATTTTTCAGTTGCACCGGTCTGAAAGTTTTCAATGCTATTTAATAGGGAAAATAACATGTTTAATATATACTATTTCCATCTATGTTTGTTCACTCTGTTCTAGGCATACCCCGAACTATGGCAAGGAAAGCGATGTTTACTCCACATGTGGACTTTTATACTTAGTACAAATTTGTCAGTCTCGAAAGCTTTGTCTCATTCGCTATTCTCCGGCGAATGTGCTAAGAAAATATCCAGAACATAATCTTTTGAATTTTTGCTGATTCGTTATATTTTAACAAATCTAAACCCTAAAAATCTTCTAAATCAGGCTATTCTTAGAATCCTGTTAAATAATCGACCTTAGCGATAGCGCCGAAGGTTGGAATTAGAAGTTACACTCTACTGTTCATTCAGCAATACAGATCTGTGCTGTTTGCAGCTGGGTGCACGATATCGACGAAGCACACTGTGATCGATCCATATTGATGACGATGTTGTTATTGATGTTTAAAAATCCCATACGAATTCTTAACAATTATGTCGGATAATACTGGTTCGTCGATTATGATTTTGTTATATCAACTGTATGCTAGGTATATGTCACACGTGGTGATGCGTTTTAAATAAATAAATAAATCCTTTATTAATCACAGACGTTTGCAATATCCAAACGGTTGCGCTCGATTAAAAATTCATCACATTCTACTAATATACACACTAGATCTTAAAGTACATACGGCTCAATAGGCTTTGAATACAAATGTGAATACAGAATCATGATGAGAAGCGCTCAAAGTGTAATAAATAAATTTTTAAAAAATCCTTCAGATCATTGAATATCCATAACAAGCTCACAATGGTCTGGTAAAACTCTGGAGTTCTTTCATCGGGCAAACATGTTCCCTACGCCAGCCATATTTGCATTATCGTCAGCGCATATAATGGAGATCAAAATTA